CTCGACGACCGACCCCCCCCCCCCCCCCCCACGCTTCAAGGCCACAAACGGGGGGCACTGAATGGAGAAGCTTTGTTCTTGGTAAGCAGATGTGAGAGTTACTGTGTCTGGCATGAGTGCCTAGCCCAGCCAGGGGCAGGGAGCAAACGCCTGCAGGGCCAGTGCTTACCCAGCTGGCATGAGCCAAGAGAGGCAGTGCTCAGGGCTCTCCCAAGCCAAGGGGCACAAGCGGGCTCCCGAAACCATCCTGGGAATGGGGCTTTGGAATTGTGCCCTTGTAATCATCTAGCATCTCCCCACACACACCTTCCCAATCCCCCGAGCCCCTGGGTGTCCTGGCTCCTCCAGCCCTGGGAGTCCAGAGGGGCTGGGTCGTGGGAGCAGAGAGGGTCGGTTACTGACTCCTGCAAGGGATGCTGGGTTCCTCCTACGAACTCCCTGCGATGCCTGGGCTGGGAGCTGGGAGCTGAGCACGTGCAGTATCTGAGCTGCAGCAGGGGTGGGTTTGGCACCACAGTTTTGCTGAGATCTGTGTGGTGAAATCCCCCAGGGGATGCCTGGGGGGTGTTGGCATCTCAGGGATGGTGCCCCAGAGCCAGGCACCAGCCCAGACCCTCCCCTAGAGAAACACAGGGAGGGTTCTTTAGCGCTGTGGCTCCCAACCTCCCCATGTGAGCCCACGGGGAGCCATGCATGGCCCTCGATGAGGCCAGCCAGTGCCCCTGTTCCACCCCTGCAGCTCCCCCTACGGAGTTTGGGGGCTGGGGTGGGGCTGGGGGAGGCCCTGAGTGCTGAGCTGTGCAGGGGCCTGCCAGCATTGCAGCCCTGGGGCTGGCGGGAGGGGCTGGGCTGTGCCATTGGGCTGACGTCTGATGCGCTCTCACTCTCTCTCAGTACATGGGCTGCGTGGAAGTTCTGCAGTCCATGCGGGCGCTGGATTTCAACACCAGGACTCAGGTCACCAGGTGAGCCGCAGGCACTCGGACGCTGGCTGTGGGCAGAGAGGCCTCACGCTGGGAGGTGCACCCGCACGTACCCCCTGCACTGATGCCCACAGGCCCGGAGGGTGGATTCTGACCCAGTGCCCTGCGGCTGAGCTGAGCTCGGGGGAGCAGGGCGGGAGCCCATCAGGCAGCCAGGCCACTCTGGGCCCAGAATACGTCCCATGGTGCCCCCTGCCCCCCACTGGTGCTGCTGGGTGGCAGCTGCCAAGGAGCGTGCTGGGGTCTGAACGGCAGCTGCAGAGGAGGTGCCAGGGAGACCAGTGCTTCCAAGTGAAACCAGACGCTGGCTCCAGCCTCTGCCAGACAAAGGAGGTCCCGCCCGTGTCCCTCCCCCCACCCCCACCCCGGCTGGGCCCCGCCCGCGTCCCTCCCCCCGGCTGCGCCCTGCTGGGCCGGCCTAGAGAGGACGGTTTGGGGACTCTCAGGATGGGAGTCCCTTCCCAGCCCCTCCCCCCTTTCTGCACCCAGCCCACGCCCCTTGGCCCCTTTGCACAAGGCTCGTGTGTATGAACGACTGCAGCCTCTTTGGGGGGCAGGGCCGATCCCCCTTGCAGAGCCGCTTCCAGGCCTTGGGCTAGGGGCCCGTCTCCTTGTAGCTTCGCTCACCCCATCTGTGCCTGCCCTCCCAGCACTCGGGTCTGTGTGTCACCGGGCCCTGAGGGAAGGGATACTGCGGGGAGCTAATCGGGGGAAGTGGCTGGGGCCTGGCCGCTCCCCGGGGCTGCCCTGACTTTGCCCTGTGGTCCCCGCAGGGAGGCGATCAGCCTGGTGTGCGAGGCAGTGCCCGGTGCCAAAGGAGCCGTCCGGAGGAGGAAGGTAAGGCCAGGCCGAAAGGCAGTGCACTCTGGCGGTTGGAGCAGTAGCCCAGAGTCTGGGCAGTCCTGACGCTGACTCCCTGGGGCCAGGAGTGGGGGTGCAGAGGCAAAGGGCCAGGACTCGGCTCCTTCGTCTCACACACACTTATGCTCTCACCCACTCGCCCCAGGGAGGCAGGAAGGACCAGCCCCCGCTCAGCTGGGTCAGAGCTGGGATTTGACCCTGGGTTCTAGGAATCAGGCAGTGCTGGTGTCTGGCAGGAGGCTTCGGGGGGGACACTGGGGGCTGAGAAGCCCTTGTGTTTGCAGAGGGGGAAGGGAGGGTGCCCGTGCTCCCCCCTCATCTATTGGAGCAGGAGCCTGCAGCCCCTGTGGCTGCCCCTGGCAGTGGGATGGCAGCCGCGGCTGGGCTGGGATAGGCCCCCCGCTGCGGGGGGCTGATCGATAGCGGCCCTGTCTGGCGCTAATGGAGGAGCGAGGCCCTCCCCCGCTCAGTGCACGGGGCGCCCTGCTGCTGGTTAATGGATGTGAGGTGGGGGGAGATCGAGTACTAAGCCAGGCCGCAGGGGCTGGGCTGCTGCCTTTCTGGGGCGGTGGGGCCTGCACGGGGGCTGGGCTGCGAGGGAACTGGTGTGACTGAGCCCAGGGTCTCGGCCCCAGCCCCCTAGCGGACGGTCCTTTGCTTCCGCAGCCCTGCGGCCGCTCACTGAACTCCATCCTGGGCAAGAGCAACCTCAAATTTGCCGGCATGCCCATCACCCTCACCATCTCCACCAGCAGCCTCAACCTCATGGCGTCCGACTGCAAACAGGTGAGACTCACCGGGGCCCAGAGCACCCTCCCCTCCTGCTCTGGCTGGGGAGCCACCAGAGTGGGGGTCCCGCCCCTGCCTACCCAGTCCGCAGCTCCGCTCCCTGTCTACCTGGGGACACAGGCCAGGCCTGCCCCTCGCACCCCATGTGCTGGGCCCCCTGCAGAAGGTCACTGGTTCGACCTAGGCCCATGACGCCACAATACGGGCACTGTGCAGGGCAGGTCCATGGCTGCCAGCTCTGGGAGGGCGTCCAAAGGCCAAGTGGAGACCCCACATCCCTGGGGGTACCTCCCCCCCACAGGCATCCCTGGCTGGGAAGAGCAGCCGGGTGCTGTGTCTAACCAACGGCTCTCCCTTCCCCACAGATCATCGCCAACCATCACATGCAGTCCATCTCCTTCGCCTCAGGGGGGGACCCGGTGAGTGAGCAGCTGGGGGGTCTTTGCTCCGTGTCCAGGTTCCCTTGATGGCTGGGCTCCATCCCACCTCCGCCCAGGGCTCCCTCAGGGGGGAGGGGGACTCTCCCCCACGGCTCGCCCACTCGTGGTGCCGTTCTGACCCAAGCCCTTGCATCTGGCCGGCACCCCCCTTACTGCCCCAGCAGGGGTGAGCCGCACCAACAGGGTTGGCTAGCAAAGCAGGGCCGGGGCCCTGGGACATCCCCCGGGCCTCTCATCCTCACACTGGGACTGCCATCGGTGTGCTGAGCACTAGGCTGTGGGCGATGGGTAGGGGTGGTGTTCCCCCCCCCCCCATCCCCCCCCCAGCTCTGGTGCTGCCGCCACCTCACCCGCTGCATCTCCCCCACAGGACACTGCAGAGTACGTTGCCTACGTTGCCAAAGACCCCGTCAATCAGAGAGGTGAGTGACTTGTGCCATCTCCTGGCCGGCTGGCGCAGCCATTAACCCCACCGTTGCTGGATGCCTGCCTCGGCCCCGCGATGCCCCCCAGCCGGCCCAGGCCACGAGAGCTGGGTTGGCCACCCCCCTGCACTCCCCAGGCTGCGCTCGCAGAGACCCCCTGACTGGCTCTGGGCCTGCAGCAACAGTTGCTTTGCTGGGGCCCTGCTGCCAGGGGTGGGTGTAACGAGAGCCTGGCAGTGCCCGGGGTGTGTGTGTGTGTGTGCGGGGTCCCTTGCGGGGTCCCTCGCTCTGAGCCCTGCCTTTCTTCCCCCTCCAGCCTGCCATATCCTGGAGTGTCCCGAGGGCCTGGCGCAGGACGTGATCAGCACCATTGGGCAGGCCTTCGAGCTGCGCTTCAAGCAGTACTTGAAAAACCCCCCAAAGCTCGTAACTCCCCATGACAGGTATGGGGGGGCAGCAGCCCCTCAGAGGCATGCTGCAGGGTGGGGGAGCCCCTGGAGCTCCCTGGCCGGCCGGCGGGGCTCTGGGCAGGACGCACTGGCTGCCTGGGTCCAATCCAGGGGCTGCCGGGCCTGAGACAAGGAACACCAGTGCCCTTGGTGAGGCGCCGGGTACTGAGCCGGCGGGGGGAGCGCGGCAGAGCTGGGGCGCGTTGCCGCTCACCTACTGCTCCCTCCTCCCTAGGATGGCTGGGTTCGACGGCTCGGCCTGGGACGAGGAGGAGGAAGAGCCATCGGACCACCAGTACTACAACGACTTCCCCGGCAAAGAGCCACCCCTCGGGGGCGTGGTGGACATGCGGCTGCGTGATGGCGCCAGCGTGGCACAGGCGCCCAATCACCTGGGGGCAACGCTGGTAAGCACTGCTCGTGGGGGGCGAGGGTGACGCTCCCACCAGCTCGTCCCACTGCACCCCTTCCCAGGGCCGTGCCAGGCGGGTCCCTTGGTGCCAGCTCGGGGGGAGCTGCCATCCCCAGGTGCGGCCAGAAAGAGGGGAAGCTGCGGGCCTGGGGCCACCTGGCCAATGAGTCCCCCTTGCTTGGTCAGACCCCAGGGTGAGACCTGGCAGGGTACGTCCATGCACAGGGGGCACTGCCTGTTGCCAGTCGGCAGTCGGAGCAGGATGGGTGGCAGATGGTCAGGCTGGAGGCCATGGGGCTGGGCTTTGCGGGCACCGGGAGGAGAAGGGAGCAGTCTGAGCCTTGGCTACTCACTGCCTGTCTCTTCCTCCTGCAGCCTGTGGGCCAGATGTCCAGCGCAGAACACGACCCCCGGAAGCAGCACCCTCCTGCCCAAGGTACCGGACCACACACAGCTGTGCCACAGGCTCCCTCGCCCACCTGCTGGGGGCCGCCTGACACGGCGCGGCTCGGACACCTCACTGCCCCGCACGGCAGTGCCAGCTCTAGCATTGCCTCCCCGCTGCCCTCCGCAGTGGGACAGGCTAATCTCTGAGCATCCCCTGTGTGTGCCAAGGCCGGAAGCCAAATGCCCCAGGGCTTTCATGTCCCTGGGGCCGGTTCTGCATCATCTTTGGGCTTGCCAGGATCACATGGAGCAAATCAAGGGATCCCAGCAGAGTGCGGGGCTGCCCCCAGCTGGGGTCTCTGCCGGCAGTCCCTGGGGTAACCCAAGGCCCAGCAGGGGGGTGTTGGACCCTGTAGCTGAGGTGGCGGGGGAGGTCTGGCTCTCGGGCTGGCAAGCCCTGCTAACTGCAGCTCCCCTCCATGCAGGAAGGGATAAATACGCCCCCGGCGCCGGCCCAGCCCTCCGCACCGATCTGTTTGACGACCCGTCCTACGTCAACGTGCAGAACCTGGACAGGTCGCGCCAGGCCTCTGCCGCCAGCATCCCAGGCACGGCCAACGGCAGTGCCCAGCGAGACCTCTTCGACATGAGTGAGTGGGGGTTGGCCCGTCCTGCTGGCATCTGCCCCAGCTCTGGGCTGGAATTGACTGGCTCTGCGTGGCGTGGGTGTGGGCTCTGTGTCCATCCAACCCCTGCTCCTCTCCCCCCGCAGAGCCCTTCGAGGACGCCCTGCGTGTCCCGCCCACGGTGCCAGTGGGGCTGCCGCCGGCCCAGCTCCTAGCCTCCATGGAGGAGCAGCTGCGGCGGGAGCCCTGGTACCACGGGAAGATGAGCCGCAAGGAGGCGGAGAAGCTGCTGAAGGTGAACGGGGACTTCCTGGTGCGGGAGAGCACCACCACACCGGGCCAGTACGTGCTGACCGGGCTGCAGGGCGGGCAGCCCAAGCACCTGCTGCTGGTCGACCCCGAGGGAGTGGTGAGTCGGCCCTGGGGCCACGGCAGGGGGCTCCCTTCCCCAGTCCTACAGGCTTGGCACTCGAGGGAAGAACTGGGGTGCCGGCTGGGCTGCCCCCCATGGGCTCCTGGGTCCTTGTGTGTGAGAACGATTGACAGGAGCCCTGCCCAGCTCCAGCCTTGGCTCCCTTTCAGCCCCATGGGCCCTTAGTTGCCCCCCCAGAGGTGGGTACAGCCACCCCTCCCTCCCAGAGATGCCTCAGCCGGGTCCTGCAAGGGAACAGGACACTGGCTCCTCTCCGTGAGGTTTGTGCTGCCATGTCTCATTTGGTCACAAGAGGGCGCACGTGCCTCCTGGTTCCACCCATTACCTGGCCATCCCCTGAGCCCCGTTTCTGGCCCCTGCAGGTGCGGACGAAGGATCATCACTTTGAGAGCGTCAGTCACCTGATCAGCTACCACATGGACAATCACCTGCCCATCATCTCGGCGGGCAGCGAGCTGTGCCTGCAGCAGCCCGTGGAGAGGAGACTGTGAGGCATGGGTGGCCTCAGGGGAGCCCCCCAGGCCCTGCCCACCCTGGCCTGCTCATCCCCTCTCTGCCAGCAGGGCTCTTGGACTGTTTCAGCTGCTGCTTCCCCAGGAGGCCCTGGGGCTTCCCGTCTCTCCGCCATGAGCTCAGACTCTCTGGGCTCACACCAGCCCCTCCGGAGACAGAGCAGAGGTGGAGGAGGCCGGGGGAGCCGGGACTGGGCAGAGGGCGGGGGCCTGTTTCTGCATCCAGGGAGCTGCACCAGCCACAGCTCCACCTCTGCTAGCACCAAGCTCCAGCCTGGGTGGCTGTGTGCACTGCTCCGAAGGCCAATTGCAACCACACACACTCGCCCTTGCCCCGCGTTCATCCACCCTCGGGCAGGGCAGGTGGGAGGGAGCCTGCCCTGACCGCCGAGCCTCTGTGAGGAAGGTGAGGGTCAATCTTATTGGCTCAGAGGCCTGCCTGTCTGGAGGTTGCGGAGCGCTCCTGGCCCTCGCCCTCCCCTAGAGGCAGCTCACCCCAGCAGGGAAGGGCTGGATTCTCATCTGCCATTCCCCTGCAATCCCTAGGGGTCAGCACCCATGGGTGGCACCACCTGCGTGACCCCTTTGGGAGAGCCACCCGCACCACAGAGCAGCACCATGGCTCCTGCTGCACAGAGCGAGAACAAGGGAGATTTTCCCCAGAGGGCGGGAGTGGAAGGCCCCTGCCCTCCTCAGGTGAACCCGGCCCTCTGCTCTGCGAAGCACAAGGCTGGGCCGGCCACACACCGAATGTACCCGATCACTTTACGTATTAACTCTGTGCCTTGACCCTCCACAGGTCCCAGATACTTATGCAAAGCAGTTGGCCCTGGGGCGGGCTGGGGAGAGCAGTCCGCCCACCCTGGGAGCACAGCCCCTGTCCTCACACAAGGCTCCTAGAGGCCACAGCCAGGCCTGGTCCCGCCCCAGCGTCCTGCTGGCTGGAAGCAGAGCTCAGGTGGCCCCTTCTGCAGCAGGCTGCTCACAGTCCCACTCCTCATCCTGGAAGGCAATGCCCAGCCTGTGTCCAGGGAGGGGCATGGATGGAAATGAGATGGGGTAAATGGGGTTCTCCATAGGAGGGCAAGAGCCCCTTGGCCCCCCTGCCCTTGGAGGGGAGCAGTGCTGTACACTACGCCCTTCTGCCCCTTGGGCAGGGTATGTCACAGCCAGTTCCCTGTACTCCAGCTCGGTCTGGGCCAACCACGCAGCCAAAGGAAGCACGTAGCACCCAACAAGATTGCAGCCGGAAGGGGGGAACCAGAACTCCCCACCTCAGGGGACAAGTGGGCTGCTGAAGTCCCAGGGGGACAGGACAGCTGGCCTGAGCTCTGCTCCTTCTCCCCAGCCCGCGCTAAGCAGTGTCTGCCGGGAGCAGCCTCCCGGGCTTCCCAGGCTCTGCTGCAGTGGCAGGTGAGCCCTCTCCCTGCAGGGCATGAAGCCTGCCCGCCACTGGGTCTGCACGGACTGTGGGGATCCCACTGTTGCATGCACATTGTTATACTCTGAAGCCAAAGTGTAACCCTCCCCTCACGCCTCCTGCTCCCCCCAGAGGAGTCAGCCTGGGCTCAGAGGGGGGAGGGTTTTGCTTTCTCCCCTCCCCCTTCTCTCTTTCTCCTTTATATGGGTTTGATTTGTTACCAGGTCTTGATTATACCAAAGGAATCGGATGGTTATTATTAAAGTTAGTATTTCTTTAATGCATGGCTGTGAGTGGCTCCTCGCCTGACAGGAGGGGAGGGGTCCGTGCAGGAAGGTGCATGCTGCATCCGTGTCCAGCAGCTGCTGCTCCTCCAGGGTACACGGGGCGTGTGCTTGGCTGAGGGCTCTCTGAGCCAGCGGGCCGATGCTTTGCCCCTTGGGCCCTAGCGGCCCCTCTCCTAGGCTCTTAGACCCTCAGCTTCACATGGCCAGTAACTGCCCCTGCCCGAGCTCTCCCCGGCGGGCGCCTCCTGCTGCAGTTGGCGGCTGCAAATGAGGTAACATCCCAGCAGCGGGAGGGCAGCAGAGCGGCCCCCCAGCCCTGCGGCCAGCTGCCCCCCGGCCATGGCCGCTCAGATCTGGGCCAGGGCTCAGCCACCACCCCCGAGGGCAGCTCACGCCAGGCCGGCCTGGAGGGGCTGGACAGCCCCAGAGAGCTGGGGCCCGGAGTGCCCGGCCCAGCCCTGGCTCCCGGGGGCAGGAGTGTGGGGGCAGAACGGGGAGCTCAGCTCCTGGCTCCCTCGTGCCCCCCGTGCAGGGCCCGACTTGGGGGTGCCCCATGGGCAGGGGCCCCAGCGAGGGGATCAGCTCCCAGGGTGGGGGGCTCAGGGGACGGGCTCCAACCCTGGGGCCCCCTTGGCGAGGGCCCAGCTGCGGGGAGCGGAACCCAGAAGCCTGCAGTGGTCTGTTCCAGCACCCCCCGCCCCCCAGTGTAGAATAGTCTAATCCTGGGAGTGGTAGGGCTCACCCCCCCTTCCCATGTGGAATGGTTTGTCCCACCCGGTCCCCCTCCCGCCGCATACGGAGTGGTGGGCTCCGCCCCCGTGAGGAATGGTTCACCCCCCCTCCCGCGGTGGTAGGGCCCGGCCAGTTTCCGGTTCCGGCGCGGCCGCCCTGAGTGCGGGCCGGAGCCGCAGCGCGGAGCCATGGCGCAGCCCGGGCCCCCCCGGCTCTGAGCCCCGGGCCCCCCATGGCGGCTCCGCACCCCGAGAAGCTGGAGGGAGGAGTCCCGGCCCCGCCGCCCCCCCCGGGGCCCCCCAACCCGCCGGGCAGCGGCCCCCCCGGCGGGCCCGGCAGGAAGCAGGGGAAGGCAGGTGAGAGCGGGGTGGTTGGGGGTTCAGGGGG